AAGATAAGGCAGATTTCTGTCCCAAAAGAGACACTTTATGTAGACAAACGAAGATCTCTGCAAAAAATAGGACGCATTCTGTCAACGAAAGAAAGAATTCTGCAGAAAAGATAAAAGGTTTCCTCGTCAACAAACGCGGGAGATTCTCCGTTAGAAACAGAACGATTCCGTCAGGACGGCGGAAAACAAGAGTTCTCGTCAAAAAAGCTGGAGATTGTTGCTCGAAACAGGGGAGATCTGTCCACGCAAAAAGAGGAGATATCTGTGCAACATACCAGAGAATTTCGTCAGCAAAAGAGCAGATTTCCTGTCGCAGAAGAGATAGGAGATTTGGTAGAAACAGAGATTCTGTTCAGGAAAGAGAAGATTCTGCAAAGGGAGAGATTCTGTCAGAAAGGGGAGATTTCTGTCAGAGAGAGTCAATTCTGTCAGAAAGACGTTTTCCTCTCAGAAAGAGAAGATCTCTGTCAGAAAAGGGAGATTTACTGCAAGACAGGTCAATTCCTGTCAAAAGAGCTTTCCTCTCAAGAAAAGACGAAATTTCTGTCAAAAAGCGCGGAGATGCTGTACAGAAAAGGGGAGATTTTTGTCAGAAAAGGGGAGATTTCTGTCAGGAAAGAAATTTCTGTCAGAGAGAGGTCAATTCTGTCAGAAAAGAGCAGTTTCCTCTCAGAAAAGAGAGAAGATTTCTGTCAAGAAAAGGGAGATTTTTGTCAGAAAAGGGGAGATTTCTGCAGGAAAGAACATTCTGTCAGCAGAGAGTCAATTCTGTCAGAAAAGAGCCATTCCTCCAGAAAAAGAAGATTTCTGTCAGAAAGGGGAGATTTCTCGTCCGAAAGGGGAAGATTTTTGCAGAACAGGGGAACTTCTGTTAGAAAAGAGATCTCTGTCAGGAAAGAGGAGATTTCTGTCAGAGAGAGGTGAATTCTGTCAGAAAGAGAAATCTCTTGTCAGGAAACAGAGAATTCTGTCCGAAAGCGGAATTTATGTTTAGAAAAGAGATTTTGTGGTCAGGAAAGAGGAGAGTCTGTCAGAAGGATGTCAATTCTGCACAGAAACTCTTCATTCTGAGCAAATCTATATTGTTTTCACAAAAAAAAAACAAAAAAATTACCGTATTCTTCATAGAAAATCTATCCTTTCTTGACAGCACAATCTTTATTTGACAGAATCTTCTTATTCCTGACAGAAACTCCTCTTTCTGACAGAATCACATCCTCTGACAGACATCTCTCTTCCTGACACAATCTCTTTTCTAACAAAATCTCCCCTTTTCGACAGAAATCTCCTCTTTTCCTACAGCAAATCTTCTCTTTTCTGACAGAATTCACCTCTCTCTGACAGAAATCTCCTCTTTCCTGACAGAGATCTCTTTTCTAACAGAAATTACCCCTTTTCTGACAAAAATCTCCCCTTTTCTGACAGAAATCTCCCCTTTCTTGACAGAAATCCTTCTCTCTCTTTCCTGACGAGGAAAACGCGCCTCTTTTGACCAGAATTGACCTCTCTCTGAACAGAACTTCTTCCGACAGAATCTCCCCTTTTCTGACAAAAAATCTCCCCTTTTCTGACAGAAAATCTCCTCCATTCTGACAGAAACTCTCTCTTTTCTGAGAGGAAACTGCCTCTTTCGACAGAAAAGTTGACCTCTCCTCGGACAAAATTTCTTTCCTGACAGAAATCTCCCCTTTTCTGACAAAAATCTCCCCTTTTCTGACAGAAATCTCCCCTTTTCTGACAGAAATCTTCTCTTTTCTGAGAGGAAACTGCTCTTTTCTGACAGAATTGACCTCTCTCTGACAGAAATCTCCCCTTTTCTGACAGAAATCCTCTCTTTTCTGAGAGGAAACTGCTCTTTTCTGACAGAATTGATCCTCTCTCTGACAGAAGATTCTCTCTCCTTTTCTGACAGAAATCTCTCCATTCTGACGACAATCTCCCTCTTTCCTGAACAGAATCCTTTCTAACACAAATCTCCTAATTTGGACAGAAATCTGCTCTTTTCTGAATGAAATCTCTGCTATTGACAGAAATCTCCTCTTTCGACAGAAACTCCCCTTTTCTGACAAACAATCCCACTTTCTGACCCCCAGAACCTTCGGGCGGGGGGTCCTGACAGAGATCTCTCTTTCTAAACAGAAAATCTCCCCTTTCCTGACCAGGCAAACTTTTTTTCTGACAGAACATCGTCCCTTTCTTGACAGAAATCGTCCCCTTTTTGCCCAAGAGACTTCCTGTTTCCCCCACAGAAATGCGCCCCCTCTTTTGGGACAGAAATCTCCTCTTATCTTGAGAGAAATCTCTCCTTTGCAGACAGAAATCTCCTGTTTTCTGACTGAAATCTTCCCTTTCCTGACAGAAATCTCTTCTTTCTGAAGAAATCTGCCCCTTCTCTTCACCAAATCTCATTCTGTTTCTACAGAAACTCCCCTTTTCTGACACAAATCTCCTCTTTTTTGACAAATATAACTTTTCTGACAGAAGTCTCCATTTTCTGACAGAGATGTCTTGTTTTCTTACAGAAATCTCCTCTTTCCTGACAGAAATTTCTTTTCTAACAGAATTTACCTCTCTGTGTCAAAAATCTCCTCTTTCCTAACTAAAATCTCTTTTCTGACAAAAACTCTCCTCTCTTCTGACAGAAATCTTCTCTTTGCTCATAGAAATCTCCCGTTTTCTAACAGAAATCTCTCTATTCTGACAGAAATCTCCCCTTTTTCTTAGAGAAATCTCCCTCTTCTGACACGAATGTTCTCTTATCTCAAAACAGTCTCTATTCTGACAGAAATCTCCTCTCTTTTGAGGGAAATCTCCTCTTTACTGACAGAAGTCTCCTCTCTTTTCTGATAGAAATCTCTTCTATTGTGACAGAAATCTCCTCTTTTCTGACAGAAATCTCTCTCCTGACAGAAATCTCCATTTTCTGACAGAAATCTCCTCTTTTCTGATAGAAATCTCCATCTTCTAAGAGAAATCTCCTCTCTTCTGATAGAAATCTTCCCTTTTCTGACAGAAATCTTCTCCTTTCTGACAGAAATCTACACTTTTCTGACAGCAATCTCCTTTTTTCTGCAGAAATATTCCCTTTTCTGACGGAAATCTCCTCTTTTCTGACAGAAATCTCCCCTTTTCTGATCGAAGTCTCCTATATTCTGACAGAAATCTTCTCTTTCCTAACAGAAACACCCTCTGTTCTGACAGAATGTACTTCTCTTTTGCAGAAATCTCCTCTGTTCTGATGGAAATCTCCTCTCTTCTGACAGAAATCTTTCTTTTGAGGGAAATGTCCTCTTTTCTGACAGAAATCCTGTCTTTTCTTACAGAAATCTCCTGTATTCTGACAGAAATCTCCTCTTTTCTGCCAGAAAAACCCTCTGTTCTGACAGAATTCACCTCTCTCTGGCAGAAATCTCTTTTCTGGTGGAAGTCTCCTCTTTTTTGATAGAAATCACCTCTTTTCTGAGAGAAAACTCTTTTCTGATAGAAATCTTTCTCTCTTCTGACAGAAATCATTCTCCGTCCTGACTGAAATCACTCACTCTTTAGCATATACAAAAATTAACTGGAGATGGAAAATAAGGCTTGAAAATTCAAAAGTAAATCTCATCCCACTCCCAATATAATGTTATCAGCAATGACATGAAATTTATAATGAGAAACAACTACATCACTGTTTATAAGAGATTTGTCTTCTGAGTGTGGCTATCCAGTTTTCTCTCCACCATTTACTGAATAGGGTGGCCTTTTCCCACTGTATGTTTTTGTCTGCTATGTTGAAAATCA